CTCTCTTTCTCTCTTTCTCTCTTTCTCTCTTCTCTCTTTCTCTCTCTCTCTCTCTCTCTCTCTCTCTTTCACACTCACTCTTACTCTCACTCTCTCTCTCTTCCTCCTCCTCTTTCTTTAAGTCTCTTTTTTCTTCTCCTCTCATTACCCTTCCCATGCCCTTTCCTTACCCTCTCCCCCCCTCTCCCTCTCTCAAAGAGAAAGAGAGAGAGAGAGAGAGAGAGAGAGAGAGAGAGAGAGAGAGAGAGAGAGAGAGAGAGAGAGAGAGAGAGAGAGAGAGAGAGAGAGAGAGAGAGGGAAGACTTCAGTCAAAGGTAAAATTATAAAAACAGTATGCAACAATATGTTATACTACACTTTCATCCCTTCATTACAGTTTCATGATCACAATATCAGGGTGTTTTTTTTCAACTTTCCACAATAAAGGAGTATAAAAGTCTTGATACAAAGGAAAGAAACTTGTTTACTCACAAAAACAATGAATACAAAAATTAAATTATCAGATCTTCTCTAAAAACATTGGAAGTCATTAACATGAGCAAATACATTAAGCAGATCCACAAAAAGCTGCTACATGGAACACTTATACATTTTCCAAAGCTTATTAAGTATCCAAAACTTACAATACTTATTGAAATCTGAATACTACAGTACAAAAGTCTAAGTTCATTTTCACAACATGAAAACACAGATACATGTTACATTTTACAAATGTATGCAACCTTAGTTAACGATATCTTACTGACCGTGGAACTTTTCGCAAACTTCGAGTTTGGATTTTGACTGACGAACATAATGCTATGGGAAGTTGTAAATTCAGCCATACTTAAAAAAATATAAAGGACCTTTTATCACAGCTCCTTATCACATAGAACATCACACCGCTCACAAAACCTCATCTTGGATAAATGCAATGTTTTGTACGTAATATTCCATTCCATAGTACCTTCTTTCACTAGCTGCATTTCCACTGTCACAATAGATACAAAAATGTCTACGCAATGTCCCCTATGAGGAAATGTTTTAACATTATACTAAAAGAGAACATATCTAAATACCATGTATGAAATACTGTCATAAAATTTGTGCCAACCGGGATGGCAAAAAAAGAAAGAAAAAAAAAACAAAGACATAGGAACTTGCAGGAAAAAAAATATATCGCATATATGATGACTAGTGCCCAAGCATCCATACCACCATGAAACATAAAATAAAACTCAAAGTCATTCTCCCCAAGTAGGAGGGAACACCTGACTCTTTCTGCCTGGTTCTTTGAGTAAGACCTTTGAATGTTTAGACGACTCGGGACACATGGTAGGAACGCACTACTTAGATGCCGAGCTCACTTTCTTCACTGGGCAGTGGTTGGAGAGGCCCTCGTCTCCGGGCTTCCAGTTGCCCGGGCAAACTGCAAATCAGGAAAACAACAATTAAATAAAAAAAGAAGGCAAATGAAGAATTATTATTATGAGGTGGATTAAATAACCCATCTTACAGAACTTCTGTTATCACAATATATATATGTATATATATGTAAATTAATACTACAGTTTCTAAGAGTTCTTTGCTTCTAAAATAATGGTAGGTATATGTAGAATTTATATATCTAAATGTATATATGTATATATGCATAGGTATAGGTATAGATATAGGTATAAGTATGTGTGTGTATATCTATATATATGTTTATATTTGTATATGTATGTGTGCCTGTGCCTATGTATATGTATACATCTGCATTTATATAATATATATGCATATATATACAAATATATGTATATAGATACATATATATGTATATATACATATATGTACATATACATATATGTAAACATATATGTGTATATATACATATGTATACACATAAATATATATACATTTAAACATATTTATACACACACATATATATACATATAGATTTATATGTATACACATTTATACATATACATATATATGTATACACATATATATATAATATTTATATAAACAAATATATGTATATATATATATACATATAAATGTGTGTGTGTGTATGTAAATATATATATATATATATATATATATATATATATATATATATATATATATATATATATATATATATATATATATATATATATATATATTTGTATATATATATATTTGTATATATATATATTTGTATATATATATATTTGTATATATATATATTTGTATATATACATATATGTATATATACATATATATAAACATATATGTGTATATATACATATGTATGCACATATCTATATCTATATCTATCTATCTATCTATCTATCTATCTATCTATCTATCTATCTATCTATATATATATATATATATATATATATATATATATATATATATATATATACATATATATATACATATTTATACACATAAATACATATATATATACATATATATATACATATACATATATATGTATACACATTTATACATATACATATGTATACATATATATACAATATATATAGTTATATACAAATATACATATATATATACATATACTTACATACAAATATACATATTTATATACACTTATATATAAAACTTTTTTTTTGTGTAACATACATAAATATGTACATACATACATATGTACATAAATACATACATACAAACATACAAAAGTACAGATGTAGATACATACATACATTTATGAAAACGAACTGACAACATTCAAATGTGAAGAAAATCTCAAGGATTTTATGACGGCTATTTTATTGACTGACTGACTTCCTTACCAAAAGCAAAAGCAGGACTTGTCTCAAACCCTCCCCCCCTTTGCACCATTAAAAGCTCTTGTAACCTCCGCAATTTCTCAAGATGAGCTTAGATTCCTGGTCCAATTTGTGCAGGGGCAAAGACGTCAATGCCATGCCCATTGTAATAAGAAGTTTATGTATTGTCTTTACATATAGATGGCTCTACAAGTGCTTAGTCACCAAGGAGTCCGCTATTAGTCTTACCTATCTCATCTGTTTACCCTTTTCCTTCATTTTTTGAAAGCTTCACTTCTATTATTTTAATATCTTTGACATTTTTAATATTCTAATAACATTTTAATAATCATAATATCAATAAGAATGACAACAAAGTCAATATTAGTAGTACTGGAAACAAAAACGCATTTTCTCGCCAATTCAAGGAATGGGGAAATCAGGAGGACTAACTAGGACTAACTGATACATTCCTTGCTGCTGAGCACACGTGGAGCCATCTCTATGTAACAAAACTCACTAAAATCTAAAGGGGACAGTAAATAAGCCCACTGACATTGGGTTAAAAGATATGAGAAGCAACTTAAAAATAAATATCTTAATAAATTAAATTTCCATCAAAATGGTAAAAATGTGTTCCTTTCAAATGAATAAGCATTTCCTATACATGTGGATAACTGATTTTTTTAATAGAATACCAGTAATTCTGTAAAAAAAAAAAAACTACATAGAAGAATAAAATAAGTTAGTATAAACATTTGTGCCCTGAATGTAAGCATTATGAAGATAAAACTATCACTGAAATATATCCTACCTATTGATATGATTCTAATTTAACACAATGACTACAGGTTTATGTACCGTCCCCTGTAGTTTTTGTTAATTTTGTTACATACAGATGGCTCCACATGTGCTCAGCCACCAAGGAATCTATCTAGGCCCTAGTGATGGCACCTGATTTCCCTATTTCTTGAATCTGCGAAAAAATGTTTTTCTTTCAAATACTATTAACAATAACATTGTTATTATTCTTACTGATATTAATATTATTAAACTGTTATCAAAATATCAATAACATTAAACACAATAAAACAATACAAATAAAGCTTTAAAAAAAAAGGAAAAGGATAAACAAGTGAGATAGGAAAGACTTATAACTGACTCCTTGGTGACTAAGCACTTGTAGAGCCATCTATGTAAAGACAATAGACAAACTCTTATTACAGTGGGCATGGCATATTAGTCTTGCCATCTGTGCCAACTAGATTAACCCACTCACACCAGGTTGACGTCCTATTACATCATGTGTGGCCTAAGCTCCATTTTGATCATCGAAACTCATCTTGCCCATTCCCCTTCTTAGGACAATCCCATGGTAGCCTCACAGAATATCACAAATGCCCCTTTGACTTAACCCATTGCCGCCGGGGAAAATTAATTAAAAAAAAAAAAAATGCTGTGCTCATTTTCCATATTTTTTGTGAAAAGTTTGAAAAGCTCTGCTACCTGATTTCACCTTTCCTTGAATTGGCAGGAAAATGTATTTTTTACTAGTGCTATATATATATTGATGGTGTTATTTTTATTATAATTACTATAAAGTTATAAATATTAGTAATAGCAAAATAAGATAACATAAAATATTTCATAAATTAAAGAAAAGGGTCAACGCACGAGATTGGCAGTACTTGTAATTGGCTCACTGGTGACTTAGTAAAAGTGTAGCCATCTATGTTTAAAAACAATTAAACAAGTAAACTCACAGTGGGCATGGCATGGATGTATGTGACATGCCCATCGGGAATGGTTTAAAATAAGGCAATGTTACAAAGAGTATCACAGAACCATTATAATTAATATACAATACTTATCATGTTGGAGGTGAAAAAATACTTACTTTTGCCCGTATTATCAGCGTACTGGATGGCACTAACTAGGCGAAGGATTTCATCAACATTATGGCACGATGTCTCATCACTCAGGATCATCTGCAATGTAGGAGGCGTTATGGACAGATCAAAGCTAAATACAGCATTGTTACAAAAAAGACAAAGATTGCTGTGGTAAATCATTTTTACCTTGGCAGTTTAAGAGACTGGGTGTGATCAACTCTTGTTCCACTGTTGACAGCATCTTTAATTACTTGTAATTTTTTTTTTTTTTTTTTTTTTTTTTCTTATATGACTCTGGCTATGCTACAAGATTTATAATGTGTAAACAAATTCATAGAAAAGATAATACTATAGAAAAGGTTTACATTGTGAAGTAGCCTTCTTGATGATGGTCCACAAATTTCAGTACTATGGGTAACTGTTCCTTGTGTTGCTTCAGTGACTATAGGCAGGCTTTAATAGTAAATATATCCAGGGGCATTGTTCAGTGAATAATCATAAAACAAGTGAAAAATACACTGAAATTTCCAAAACTCATCAGACCCTGATTTGAGAACAAATTCCATAAATACGGCATCTACTTGATAGGAAATGGTTCTTTAGACTTTAGATAAATAAATAATGTTGGTGATGATGATAACCTCATCGTACAGGTTTTATGGGCTGCCATTTCCCTCTGCGTGCTAGGGAGAGTTGGGGTCCTAGCCACTTGCAGTACCAGAGAGCCTCCCACACCTGCACGCTTAACCCACTGCTCATGGATGGCATGACTGCTGTAATTTTAGTTAATCACTTGTACCCATGGTTAATGGATTAAACAGTACCCAGAGAACTTAACCCACTGAGCCACTGAGAGAGGCTTTGGCCATTTCTTTACCCTTGCAGTTTAAGAGATTTGCCACGGGTTATTCTTAATAATTTAAAATCAGTTTACTATCCTATTTTCCTGATTTGCAACAGCACAGAGTATTGCACTTTTTATGAGAGTAATTGTCAATCAGTCACTTTCCTGAATAAATCAGTACATTACAGTAGAAAATTAAATTAATGGCAAGATGTATCTATGGATGCAATCATTTTGCACACAGGTTTCTACAAACCCTTTGTCTCAAAGGTATCCAGAGCATTTGAAAGCATGAATCATATGCTTTAAATAAATTGTATGTATTATTTAAACTTACCAAACACAATAGTGGTAGTGGTGTACACTAAATATTTGTGCATTTGTTAGGCAACATTGCATTTGTTGAGGAGAAATAGCCCTTGTAAAGTAGGCTTTAATAGCCCTATTATCTAAGAAATTGTTCATGCTGCAGCCAAGAGTAAAGAGAGCAGGGTAATTTTATTTTTTCCTTCCTTATGATCTTTCCTTCGAGTAGCTAACTTCACCTGCACCTTGATGTATTGCTCAGTATACCACTTGGGGCTCCCAGTGCAATTGGCTTAGGGTTAACTTTTAGATATTTTGTAATTCACTGAATAAGAAAAAGATATTAACAACAGAGAACTGAGCTACAGAATCATTTTCACTGTCTAACAATAAATTTTCAACATAAAAATCAGTAAATGTGAGTAACTTACGAAACTCTTCTGTACTGCAATTTATTAACAAGGATGACTGCAAAACCTTAATATTAACCTTAATAATGGTGCCTTATTTTGTCTGTTATCTTGTGACTAACTCTGCACTAAGCAGAATAAAACTAAGAACAATCATTATAAACAACAACAACAACTAGTGGGACCCATGGAAACCCCACATAACAAGAAAATAAATGGTACTCCTCTCTCCCTCTTCCACTCTCCTCCTTAAGTCTTTTGAATAACCACTCCCTCTCACTCCCAAATCTTCCTTAAATTCACTCCTACCCTCCCACTCTCTGCCCTCCATCTACCCCCTCCCACTGCCCTCCATTTCCTCCTTAAACTCCCCTACCTCCTTTGCTCCTTCTTCCCTTTCCCTCCCTCTTCCATCCCCTTTTATCTGTTCCCTTCTCCCTTTCCCTCCATCTTCCATCCCCTTTTGTCTCTGTTCCCTTCTCCCTTTCCCCTCCTTTCCCCCTCTCTTTCCCTTTACCCATCCCTTTTTCATTTCAAGTCCTCTTCATTTCCCAATGGCTTCCCCTTCCACATCTCCCCTTTCTCTTAAAGCTCCCTTCCCCTCCCTTTAGCCCTCTCCCCCTTTCTTCTCCCCCTTCCTTTCCCCTTCCCCTCCTACCTTTCTTCTTAACCTCCCCCCCTCAGACAGGTTTGAGTGTAATAAATGTGAATAAACTGCTGGTCCAATTACTTCTATGTAGTGGACTAGCCTCGGTTTTACAGAAATTGAAATGAAGTCTTCAATCACGCAAATTATGATTCTTGGCATCTTACCTTATGTTAATGAATATGGTTTCTGGAGTGACATGCAGACATACAATCATACAGATAAAACATAAGCACAATAATAACATTAATAATAATAATAATAATAATAATAAGAAGAAGAAGAAGAAGAAGAAGAAGAAGAAGAAGAAGAAGAAGAAGAAGAAGAAGAAGAAGATGATGAAGATGAAGATGAAGATGAAGATGAAGATGAAGATGAAGATGATGAAGATGAAGATGAAGATGAAGATGAAGATGAAGATGAAGATGAAGATGAAGATGAAGATGAAGATGAAGATGAAGATGAAGATGAAGATGAAGATGAAGATGATGAAGATGAAGATGAAGATGAAGATGAAGATGAAGATGAAGATGAAGATGATGAAGATGAAGATGAAGATGAAGATGAAGATGAAGATGAAGATGAAGATGAAGATGAAGATGAAGATGAAGATGAAGATGAAGATGAAGATGATGATGATGAAAAGAAATGGATTAATATGATCATGCATAAAAAAGGATATAATTAGGAATAAGAGAGAAAAAAAAACAGGAAAAATAACAAAGAATAAAGAGTAACAATAAAAATTCATCATGCTCTTAACATGACCCTTTTCCTATTATGCAGTTTTTCTCCCCAACAAAGATTTAAACCTTACATCTTGGGCAAAAAAGAAATAATCTTTCCTTCTGACTTACTATACCAGACCATTACCTTCTTTTACCTTATCTCATGGAGGTCTCTCTATCTCTTTCACCTATAATGAAGTGTGTGTTTGCCTGCTTTGTTAAAATGAAGTGTGTGTTTGTCTGTTTTGTTATGGTGAAGTGTGTGTTTTGCATCTGTGCAATGTGTCTTTGTGCATGTGGTTGGCATATGACCCCACACATTCCTTCAACTTCCTTCAATGCTTTCAAATAATTTTCTCGAATGAAAAAGAGAGTCCAGCATAGAACGGAAAATTCTACAACCTAGGTGGCCTTGCCTGTCGGACATTTTGCTTGGCGTCAACGATGAGGAGCATCAGTGGCGTGGTTTTCTTCCTCTCATTGAGAACGCCGTGCGAGGCTGAGAACTTTGTGCTTTTGTCAGCCAGGAGAGGGAACTTCAGCTGCCCTAATCCACCATTCTCTCTTGAGGTATTGAACCTGTGGGCATTATCAGGACATGACCAACATTGAAAAGAAGAGAAAAGAAAAGAAAAAGAAAAATTGTGTGCGCACATGTGTGTGTTATATGTATGCATGCATGCGCATGCATACAAATAAAATATTAATATAAAGGGAAAGGCCTAGGCTGGTTTTTATAAGGATATAAAACTTATCACCAGTGTAAATAAGTGTAAACAATATGAGTAGAGGTTGTGTTTTATACATATTCATATTTGAAGAATCATATATTTTTCCTTTATAAAACATGGCCTAAGCACAATCATCTCTTACAAATGCTAGAATCATTATCTATACAATATTTATCTCATTAACCATCATCAACACCACCAACCGATAATAAAATCCACAGCTTTCTCACCATGCCAAGTGATTAAATTTGGAGTCAGTCGAGCAGCCGAACACTTTGCAGCCCAGCGCGGTGAACTCCCCCATGCGGTCTGAGAAGGCAAGGAGCTCGCTGCGTGCCAGGGGGGAGAAGTCGTTTGGGTAGAAGATCACCAGGTAATAGTGTCCTTGGAGGGCCTTGTGTGAAAAGGTCTTGAACTCTGTCCCTTCCACCATGTCACAGGTAATGCACGGTACAGCCCAGGGTATGGTGGGGGGGCCGTTCTGCAGAAAGAGAAAGGGGCTCGTGAAAGCAACACAACAGCAGACATCTGTAAATGTGGCATGATTCAAAAACTTCCGGGGAAAGGAATCAGGAGAAGGAAAGGGGGAGAAGGCAAGGGAAGGAGGGAGAGGAAGGAGAGGGAGAAGGAGAAGGGGAGAGAGAGAGAGAGGGAGAGGGAGAGGGAGAGGGAGAGGAGGAGAGAGAGAGAGAGGAGAGGAAGGAGAGGGAGAGGAGAGAGGAGAGAGAGAGAGGGAGAGGAGAGAGAGAGAGGAGAGGAGAGAGGAGAGAGGAGAGGGAGAGAGAAAGAGAGAGAGAGAAAGAGAGAGAAAAAGAATAACATATCATCATAATCATTATCATCCTCATTACCACCACCCTTCTATTCCTCCTCCTTCTCGGACTCATGGCTCATCACAGCATCAATACTCTTAATTGTACGATTTCCGCCAGAGCCGCACCTTAGCTATGATATCCTACACTGCTCATCCATACGATATCCGAGCCGCAGGAGGAACAGGACCGGCCCCGTGCATGCTTCAGGTGCTTTAGCCCGTAAAAGCAAGGATAAAGGCACTGGATGGCCTCATTATGCAAGCATGTTAAGCCTTCCTGCCACGTGTTTTCTCTCTCGAGTGAATGGCTTGGGATTTCTTTGCTTGGTTTTATTGTTATGGCTTTGTTCCTTTCCTCTTCTTATTCGTTTCCCACAATCTTTCCGTTGCTTGGCATTCTTCTTCTTTCTTGTTCTTCTGCTTCTGCTTCACGTCTCCCTTTGTCAACTTTTTGTTTGCTAATTTTTGTCATTTCTAACTTTTTTTAAGTGTTTTACCATGGTGGATAAATGATAACTAATGATGACAATCATAACAATATAAATTAATAAGAACAAAACATAACAAATCCTCACTATCTTTTTTTTCTCCAAGCAACATATTCCCGCAAATAAACCTGAAATAAAAAACACTTCACAAAATAAATAATGCAGAACATAGTACACATTTAACATCTTAAAACCTTAAACTAAATTGTAGTACATTACAATAATCAACAGCTGATTCTCACATATACATAGGAGAACAGCCAAGGTGATAATGTCATAGTCATCTCAACAATTTTGTCAAATAATCTATTATATGAAAAAAAGGTTTAAAAGAGAAAGAAACATGCAAAGAAATGTGCTTTACATAATCATCATGTATGTCTGTACCTATGTATATATGTGC